TTATCACCTGGATTCGTTTTCGCTTGACAAAATGTCTCCATCTTCAGCTCCTATCATGCCATGAAATTTCGATTTTCATACAGTAAAAGAGTTGAATTTTACATGGTTTTGAAGCATGGAATCTCGCCAGTAAAGACAAAGCCGCCATTTTTTCCACGTCGGCACCAGACCCTCTAAAACCTCAGTCAAAACCAACCGTTCCGGACCAGTGCTGACAAAAATGTATCCAGAAGTCTTTGCGAGCAGAAAAGAGACGCCATTTTGAAAAAAAACTACGCACGGACGAAAGATCCCTGATGTGGGGTGGTAGAACCCAACGTGTTTGTAGGTGGCTTTTTTCCAGGGCACCAAGACCAACCCACATTGTCTGACTTATAAAGACATCACCTCTGAAGTTGGGATTTTTCTTGAGAATGTGGGTGGGGTTAAGATGGTAGTAGGTTGCCTGGAAGTCATTTGTATACAATAACTTTCTGTTGTTGTCCTTTCCTCGTACTCTCTTGTCCATGTGCCGGACAACCATATCTTTTGGTGGTGCTCTGTAGCAGTTGGCAAACTCCTGGCCGCATCCATAACATTTCTTGACGTTGTTAGCCAATTTCACTACTTCATATCTAGATAAAAAGGAAATTATTAATGGAACCCTTGCTTAAAGTTCATTTCACCTTCAGATTGATGAATAATATATAATGGTCAGATCTGCGATGTGTTTTCTCGTGCAACAATACGCATGAAAAATACCTAAATTTGATTGGCTGATAATTGAGTTGTTTAAGTGAAAAAAAAAAAACAGTGCAAAAAGATGCAATATCAGCGCAGTTCGCGCTTTGGGATAATGTTTGCAGCTTATCAAAAATATCGAAAAACCATGCACACTACATTGAACGGGGAAAATTGTGATTGCCAATTCGATTGGTGGAAAGGCCCAGGAACACCTTGGTTATACGACATAGGATGTTGATAGGCAGTAGTTTGTGCACCTTGTTGTCCATTAGCTGGGGTTTGGGAAACTTGGCTTGGTTGTTGATAGGCAGTAGTTTGTGAACCTTGTTGTCCATGAGCTGGGGTTTGTGGAGCTTGGTGACCTTGATGAACACCTACAGAAGCATCGTCTTCATCATCGTATATCAAGGAGTCAAGGGGGTCAACAAATGCACGGCTTGCGCAAGCTTGTTTTCTCTTTCTCTTATTCTTGACTTCGTTTTTCTTCTTTCCGGTGGCGTTCATTGGGAGAGAAGACTTTGCTAGTATTTCAATACTATTGGTAGGTCTTGAGTTACTTTTTCTCCATTTTAGGAAATCTTGTAGGGTGCCACGTTGCTCTGCCATTGCAATAGAGTGCTGACAAATGTGCATTGCCTTGTACAAGGCACAAGCGTCGCAGCTCACCTTACCCGTTTTGTATTGGTAAACAAAATGGGGTATGCGTGGGTTTGACTCGCTGGCAACTTGGCGGGCGTTGTCGTCACAGTGGAATTTCCCCAGGGGTTTGCTTATTGATCCTTCCTCGCACAAAATATTCTTGGCTTTCTGCCACATATTCCGGAGCGCAAACGGCGACATAGTTTGAAGAAGCCCTGATTCTTCGACACTAATAGATATATCTCTTTCTTTTGCATCTGTGACATGTTGGGTTTCCGTAGATCCCACCGCTACCTCGTCTTCAATTGGTGCTTTGACTTTCTGAGTGAACACTTTCTTTAAGTGTGCTTTTCTGTCTTCTTCGGACGTATCCATCCACTGCTGTTTTGTTCTTTCAAGGTGTTTATACTGGCTTCGGAATTGATATTGTCCTTCTCCAGTAACTGCCAGTTCTATTTGAAGTCGTTGGGCTTGGAGAAACTTGTCTATTTGCTCTACACAGTCTGGTATAGAGAGTTTCCCATTCCCAACGCTTCCGTCCTTGAACACCTTGTTCATACACTCGTTGTTGTTTGTGGTGTACCACTCCGGAGGAATTGAGGCGATCATTGACTCACGCATATACGGAGCATGATATCTGGTAAACCACTGATGGAAGGATGCTGCTCTYGATGAATTGCAATCTTCTTCTAACTTATCCCACTTCGTCTTCACTTTCAGTAGCTTTTCGTCGAAATCTTTTGCATCCACTGCATCAAGGAGACCAAGAACCACTTCATCGGTCCCTCTTTTTCAAAAAATGTCTGTGATCAGGCCGAACTCCTTGATCTTCATCTTGAGATTTCTCATTGAATGAAGAAAGCATCGCAAACCAGTTGCCCTTGGAAAAATTGCAATCAGAGCATTGATTAGTGCTTCGTCCCCGTCTGTTCCATAAAAAATCAGCTTTGCCGATTCTTTCCTAAGTCGAACCAACGTACTGAAAAAGGAATAAAAGGAGTCAAAGTCCTTCTTGTGATGGATGTATGCTGGCCCAAGCATAACTGGTGAAGTTTTCCTTTCATTTGGACCAGACACACGCGCCTCCAGTAACAGATGGTTGTATGTCGTAAAGGTTACATCGTACTTTCCGATGTTGAAAGTTGAGTCTATTCCAAGAACACAATTGTCAACTGGGCATGTGCAAAACCGTACAATGTCATCGAGTTGTTGATTATTCGCAACGACACAGCTCAAATCAGGATGCGTCTTCATGTCTTTTATCAGTCCTCCATCACTTCGTGTCTCATGATCTTTGGTCAAGGTGAGAAGATCAATGACTTCATCTCCACTTGTCGCGCTGGGACTACCCTTATCTCTTTTCCTGGCGTTGTAAATTTGCCGTTGGTCTCGCGGGACATCTGCATAACTGGAGATTCCGACCATACCACCGCTGAGTTGCCATGCTTCAGTAAAGGTATCTTTAGGTGTCTTACCAGGTTTTGCCACTTCCCTCAAAGTGCTATCTGCAGTCCTGGTGTGGCTATGTTTCCCGTATTTGCGATTTCTGTGTGGTGACAACACCAAAGGCACTTCTTCTCCATCTACAAAGTAATAGTGCAGAAGCACTACAGGGAATTCCTTGTTACAAACAATGCGAGTTATTGATCGTCTAAACGAATACTTCCCGTCCTCAGTCTTGTGCCTCCAGTA